AGAGTTGGCCGGTATTCTTGCAGCAACGTTTCTATAGGACTTGATGCCGTTGCCAAAAACCAAATACCTTCCATATTTTTGCCAAATAGCCCTGCTAAGGACCGATAGTCCCCTCCAAACTCTCTTTTGGGGTCCAAATTAACCTTGAGGATGGTGGTTAACAAATTATTTTGAGCTCCAGCTACGCTCTGCACTTCTTGTTCCCAGAGGCACTTGTCTTCTTCAGATTTCTTTTCTAAAGTACTTATCTGTTTTCCACGAGGATCCATAGTTTCTGCAAAAGAAAACAAAAAATAAGAGCAAATGGTTGTAAAAACTCATTATGCCACTAAATAAAGGATAAAGTGTCATTTCATTTGAAAGATAAAATTAGACAACAAATACCTTAAAATCGAGTAAAGTTTTGATGTCTCCATGTCATCATTATCAAGTTCAAAGTATATGAGTCAATAGAATTGACTGAAGTCATCAAAATGTTGTGCGATTATAATACTAATGTCAAACAGCTTAAACATGTTCACCTTTTACAAAATCAATTGAAAATTTATTTTTACTTCCAATACACCATACAAATAAGTCGACATATTACTTCAACATAGAGTAATACTGTAACACCAGATTAATTTCTTAGTATACATGTAGTAGCATCATACGTTGGTTCAGTGCATTTAATATCGCAGCTGTTACAAATAGCCTTCATTTGGATAGCAGATTGATGTGACCATCATTAGTTCAGACATTAAAGAAGGGAACCATTTAGTGATTCCCATAAAATGTTCCATTTCCTAATCACCTGACTGGCCCAAGTCTTTTGTATTTAGTAAACAATGCCACAGTGCTCTGAGACCCTTTTCTTTGGATTTTCAAAGTTTTAGGTGTTTTTTAGTAGTTCTGGGTATACAATGTACATAATATACATTAAACTACCCATGACCTGAGGGCTGTCATAATTTACATTGTAAGGGCTGCGTGACTTGTAACACCATGTTACACTGTAAATCTGATTATGCTTGATTAGTGTCATTGCTTGATGTTATGGCTAAGATTGCCTCGGTGTTGTTGACACAATTCACCCACAAAGTAAAAAGTTAAAAATTACAATATTTAGAGAGGAAGCCACATCAGCCTTAGGTAGTTTTCATGCAGGTCCTCTATCCTGGTCAAATTGGAATTTTGAGATGTTGGTTTTTGCAGAGGGAGGAAAACCAGGGAACCTGCAGACAAACTCTCGGAACAAGGCAAGAACCAACAATGTACAAACTCAATGCAATGCACATATATATGGCATGGGCTTGAATTGAACCTGGGCCACATTGGTGGGAAGCGAGCACCCTCATCACTGCACCCCCCCAAAGTTTGTTATGGGTGTGAAGATCAATGTAACAGATGGCTCAAAACGTAACTGTGACACCCAAATCAGCACTCATAACAAATCTTTGAACACCTTGTAGCATAATGGTGGCTCAAATCTCAAAATGGCAGTCACCAGAAAAATCAATATATTCATTAATTAAAACAACTTATCAATCAAGAGCTTCAGCTTGCAATCATTTCTTAAAATAACATTTATTTCTGAAAATTTATTTTCCCGTGCTTTGTTTTCATTTTGATAATTGATTGACCGACTCACTTTCATGAGAGAGAAGGCCAGAAGAAATGAAACAGGGGATGGCATTAAGGAGGCAATAAAACAATGAGTTAATTCATGGTTGTACATGTATCTATTTTTCTCAAATTGCCAGTCCTTTCAAGGTTCTTACCTTGTATTCCCATATGAGACAGACGTCCTGATAGATCTGTGGGAGATGACAATACTTCTGGTCTATTTTCTATAGTTAATTTAAACAAAATAAGACAGAAATTAAGAAAGCTAGTTACATGTATTCAGATAATGAACGGGGGGGGAGAGGGAGAATTTGAAAAACTTGTGAACCAGTGAGCCATGCGAGTCATGCGAGTCATGCGAGCCACAGTACAAATGTAAAGAATTTTATTTGTTACATTTATATTTGCATGAGAACAAGAACAAGAAATCGGATTTGAGAAGAA